TCCCATAGGGATTGGCTCTGACTCAGTGGGTTGAAGACATGCTGCAGCTTGGCTCCTCTCTCACACTGCCACTTCGTGTTTCACAGTCTAAAGAAAAGAAAAAATACTCTTGAAAGCCTTCTTTTGTTTGTAACACAGCCACTCCTCCAAAGTAATGAATTAGTGCAGCAATGTGCGCTTAGCTCTGAGAAAAGCTTGGAACAACAGCTTGGAAAGCTGTGCCTGTTTGGCTGGGTAAAGCACTTAGATGGCTGTCTAACAATGATATTTCAGCTGCCAGCACAGATAATGTTGTCATTATTTACCAAAGCACACAAGAAGACATGTTTCATATTTCTTTCTGAGTGCACAAAAGGAAGGGTAGAGCTCTGGGGATGCTGAGCAGAAAGAGGACAGGCAGCGCAGAGCTGCCTCCTAGCGCCAGGGTGCTCTAAGCACTGGGGTAACCTAGGCAAGGTGGGCTATGAGGGGAATCTGTCCAGTGGGGTCATCCCCACTCAGGGCGGCAGGCCAGCACCCACTTCCCCTGGGCCCTGAAGAATGTCTGACCAGTGTCAGCATTCCACAGCCAGGCAGGGCAGCGGGCAGTGATGGCAAAGCTGCAGGTGCTGTGAGCACAGATTAATTCTAAACCCACAGTTTGGATTGATGCCTCTTTAGGAAAATAACTTTCTGCTATTACACAGCACACTGAAAGCAGCCAGGCTGTTTTCTTACCACTACGCAAAATTATAATGAGCATTCACTGTAATTTGAGGATCATCTTCTGAATGAGAATTTGATATCCTGCAATTCCTCCAAGATATTTCTTTTCTTTCTTTAATCAGCTCAGGGCATGATTTTCAAAGGGAAGTTCTTAAAAGTCCTCCCCTTGATTGCCATACCCTGTTTGTCATTGCTCTCCAGTATTTTTCACTGGGCTGTCCATGACATTTTGTAGGGATGTCTAGTCCTCAGGCCTGGCTTGCAGTCCCTGCACGACCCCTCAAGTCCTGCAAGGCCTTTCTCACCTCCCCTCTCTCTGCCTCATTTCTGCCTCTGGAAATGTGGGAGAGAAGGATGCTCCAGCCCCTGGAGTTGCCAGAGAAATCATGTAGTACCTTATTGCTAGAAGCTCAAGGAAAGTCCTTGAAAAAATACCCGCAAGCTGAGCTCAATTTCTTCTGGTCTTGGCTGTTGTTGGAGCAATATAACATGTCCCCAGTTAGCAAATACATGTACAGGAGCATGTGCAAAGCCTGCCACTGGGCAAAAGTCTATGTTCTGCATGGAGCCAAGGTAATGGAAAGTGTAAGAAACAGCACAGTTTCATGTGACCGTGACTGTGGCTTTTGGATTCAAATCAAGGCAAGGGTTCAGAGGGCTCCAAGCAGTATGAAATGAGACTAATCTCAGAGACAGAACAAAGATGTTTTATTCAACTCCATACAAATTCAGAGGAGGAAGGAAAGATAGGGAGCTGCTGAGCTTCACAGATGACACCGCAGTCCACAGAGTAACATCTACCCTCAAATCTTTGCAGATGCAAGGAGAGATATAAAGGGACCAAGACAAAACCAGTCACGTCTCTCAACCCCCTGGAGAAAAAGCACAAAATTAAATAATCTAGCCTAAACCAGTGCCTCAGGGAAGGTCAGATGAGACTGAAGAGGCTTAGCCAGCAGGTGACAAGCACTGGAGAACATGGGATCAGTCAGGTCAAAGGCAATGGATAAACCCTCCAGTGTTAAACTGCTGACAGGGCATGAGATTTAATGACAACAAGGTCATGAAAGACTTAATCGGGTCACTTGAATAACCAACTTTAAATCCTGAGTGACCAGGGTCCGTTTGATATTAATGGGGAAGGAATTACTTATGTGTCACTCAGAAAAGTACATACCAGATGCTGAACAGTGCGGGCTGAAAGTCAGAGCTGCAGCATGATGCTAAGCAAGGAGGCCAAAGGGAAGTTTGGAAATCATAGTTTCCTACGTGAAGCCTTTTGGGTTCCCTTTATGTCACCTTCTACTCCATGAATTACAGCTGGAGAGAGAGAATAAGAATCTCTCTTAATAAAAATCACCTAAAACCACAGAAAACCAAATCAGACTTTCTGCCTTGTTGGTGAAAACAAGAAGACCCAACAAAGTCTGACCTGATAGCAGACAGAAATTACTCTGCTCCTGTTCCTGTCAGCAGTAAGTGAGCCTGAGGCTCTGTTCTTGGTAAAGGATGCTCCCCCTCTGCCAAAGCCACCACTTCTTCAGTGCAACACTCACCCAGGCCCCTTAGTGGATGACATGGGATGAGGAAAGTGGCCAAGCAGGAGGGGGATGCCTGTGTGCAGCTGCAGTTACACTGGTGTTCGCACTGTGGGTGCTTTGGAGCCATGGCTCAAGATAACAGGTAAAGCCCTTGGTGTTTCAGGAGGAGGCGTTTAATGAGGGTGACAGTTTTTAGCCTTAATGTACGTTGCAGCCTGTGCATCACTCACGCTGCTACACTGTCACCTTGAAATCTTGCCTGCTCACGTGGCTCATAGAGAGATCTTTGCAGACTGCAGGAGCCTAATGGTGTCCAGAGCTGGCCTGTTGGGAACTAATTGCATTCAATCTGACATGTCTCTCTTGGCTGGCAGCACCTTCACATGCCATTATCACCCGGCTGGTGGGCTGGAAACCTACTGTCCCCGAGACAGCGTAATCATGCAGGAAGGACTTTATTACTCAGGGCTGTCTTGTACTGCTTTAATGTCACAATATGTCTGTTGCAACAGGATGCCAGATGAAAGTGTTCTTGCCTGATGTCTCAGCCTTCTATCATCCCCTAAAATCTACCCTGCTTTTACTCAATGAACCAGCACGTCTAAGAGCTAAGATGTTCTAGGTCAGTGGTTCAAATCCTGCTTCCTGCTCTTCTGAGCTAGTAGCAACATGTTGCTGGCGTCTGTCCATAGCAGAGTATTATAGGACCTGTCTTTCACTATCCTCTACCAGCCCCTGAGTATCTGCAGAGAGCGCCGAGTGGCAACAATAACAAGAATCACCTTAGGTGAGAAACACACTTCATACCGCTTTCAAAAGAGGGTGTCAACGGTAAAAGAGCATAACTGCGTAAGTCCCTTTCCTTGAGCGGGATAAGTACATGATACATTTATATGTGTCTGCCCTTCCAGACCAGAAAGCCTCAGGGATGACCCCATGATTCTTACCATGTAACTGGCAAAGTGTTGTATTTTAATGAGAACTAAGACATTTTATTAGCAGTTTCTGTTCATTCGTCTTTTTTCCCACCTACCCTCTCCCCAGGCATCACCTCTCTTGGCCACTTTCAGTGCCTTGACACCAAGGCTGAGATCTCAGAGACTGAAGTTTCCCTGACACGAAGCAGCAGGGTGAGGAGAGGGAAAGGCTGCAGCATGAAACATCCCTTATTCCACACCAGAGCATTCACATAGGAGAGAAACTGCATGAATCCCCCTGAGGCAGGATGAGCACCCATAGAGCTCAGCCCACACGTTTTTTTGTGCAACTGATCTCTGAAAGCAGAAATTCCCTGAAGCTATATATGGGTGCACTCCTTGGGCTGTAGCAGGTGTCTAGGATGCTGAATATCTCTTTCCCCCATCAGCATGTTAGTCTGGTATATGAGAACATGTCTTAGCCCACACAGAAGTGTTGCGCATAAAGTAAATTCATGATTTTGCCCCTGGCTGAATGTGGGATGTTGGATACATCATGTCCCTGAGCTTCTGTGGGCACTTAAATGCCTTTCACCTGTCTTACCCCCTTGGCTGGGATCCCTCTCACTTGACTACATGCATTTAATAGCTGAGCAGCTTCCCTAAACTAATCCATGAAGGTGTGTCTACAGGCACATGAAAGACACAGTCAGCTCCAGCAGGATCTTATGGGTGAGTACACAGTGAATCACTTTCTGGAGGTGTCGATTTTTTGTGCTGACTGCAGAAAAGGCTCAGGTGAGTAGCTAGGACTCTATTCTGCAGACTTAAACAGCCACGTATGGAGCACCAGACCCAACTCTTCTCACGTGTTTGGACAGCATCCATACATTTGGACAATGGGAACTTGGTCTCAGCAGGGAGCCTGCATACATCAACAATAGATGCAATTACAGGGAATAAACATGGGAATATATGCTCTGAAAAAGAACGCTTTCCTCACAGCACCGCTGTGAAAAATAGCAGAACAGAAACAAACTAATTCTGTTTCACCTAATTGCTTTCCATAAATCATCTCTTGGCAGCCAGCTCAAATGGTCTACCAAAGGGCCAATTAAAGCAAACGGAGGCTGAGCACTGTTTGGACTCAGGGCTGTGTTTTGTATTACAGGTACTGTAATTTGTTCCAAGAAGGTGGCATCTTTTCCCTCTCCAAGCAGAGAGGAATATCCATGCCTTGATGTTACTCCTTCAGAGCATCCATGACGCATTGACTGGTGTCCTTTCCAGCACAGTGTTTTACTGTCCAGTGTGAGATACGATGCTGCAGGTAAAAGCAATGTAGATGAAGAGGCACAGTGACAGATGAACGACGTTATGAAACCTGGACACCAGTGGCAAGTATCTATGTATTTGTTTTAAAACCCCAGTTGCAATGCACACGAACTCCTTCAAAGTGCAGACCATTAAAATCTCTCCTCCTGTAACATTTTCTGCCACTTCCCCTGCTGCTCAGTACACGTCCTGCTCCAAGCTCTCCCCACTAGCTACCACCACCCCTCCTGCACACATCCAGCCCTTGCCCCGCAGCCAGACCCCTGCCAGGAGAGCAGCCCTGGCTATAGATAGCTGCCTCTCAGCCCTGCTGTCCCTCCTCATGTGAGCCGACGGGACAACACCGTCGCTGCTGCCGGTAACACCGGGCTGCTCCTCTATGTGTGAGAAGCTCACGCCGAGGATACACCCTGCCGTGTGGCTCTGGTTGCTCTCCTGGGCCTCGACTTTACCGCACAGTTCAAGGGCTGGGCGCTGCATACCCTGAAGCCATCCCAACCTGGCGGCACCACGCACGCCCTTCCCGGCCAGGCGGGCGCAGTGGCTCTGCCCCAGGGGAGGACAGGGCAGCACCACGCCGCTCCCATTCCAACCGTGACCAGGGCCAGCCGCTTTCCCTCCCTGTTTGCTTTCAGGGTGGTTGTCTCTGCTGCTGTTCAGGGCAGGAGGCTGGTCTTGCTTGCACTGCAGTCCAAAGAAGTGCAACGGAGGAGGGCTGGAGGACGCTGCCAGCTCCCCATAGCACGCTCTTTTCCTCTGCCCTTTACTTCACAAGACACTAGAGGTATTATTGCTCCCTTTTCTTTTTCTGCCTGCTCCTGCCAAGCCTCGGCTCCCTGGGATCTCTCTGGCAGGTGGGAAGGAGCCATGCCCTACCTGTACCGGGACTTGAAGCCGAGGTCGCCGGCGCTGCCTAGTGCTGCATGTGCCACACACAGCTCGGGGAAGTCCTATGAGGAGCTGAAGCAGGAGTGCCTGCGCAGGGGAGTCCTCTTTGAGGATCCCGACTTTCCTGCCTGTGACTCCTCTCTCTTCTTCAGTGAAAAGCCACCTATTCCCTTCATCTGGAAGAGGCCCAGGGTGAGTATGACATTGCGCTCTTGCCTTCCATACTGCCAAAAGTCAGACCCTGCTGTGCTCTGGGATTGCACCAAACCATGGGGTGTTCAGGGAGGTGAAGTGCAGGGAAGACACTTCCCATCTCAGGGGAAGTGGTGTGGTGTTGGGATGTCACCCACAAATTGCTCAAGCTGTGGGATGAGAGGGCTGGAAGGGTTCACACCACGTCTCAGATGTAGCTCATTGTACAGTCACACTCTGTGGACGTGTATTTATGCATGTGCTCAAACAACTGGTAATCAGCCTTCTCTCTTACATGACTGCCAAACAGCTAAGATGAAAATAAGAGGATGTGCAAGGAATTAAGGGTAAAATACCTTTGCTGCTGTTCTAACTGTATGAAAATCAAATGCTGTTAATGTAGGAAACTCGTAATTAAGGTTAAACTTAAAAAATTCAAACCTTTCAACTTTCAGAGTATGAGACTCTTATGCTTCCTCTATTCCACCATGAAACATTGAGAGATTACAGATACATGCCATGGTTACTGAGCCATTCAGCAGTAGCCAAGGGCTTGAAAAGTATCCCTTAATGCATCTTGCATAACAACCATTAATGACACAGTGAGCGCCTGAAGTTTCAATAGTCAGATGCTCTCAGATCACGAACCCAACATCACTCCAGGTTCCTTCTCCCCACTTAACTCTGTAACTAATAGCCACAGAAAATCTGTGGCTACGTTTAATTTCATTTCTTTGCTAATGACTGACATTTATTCTCTCTTTCTTCATAGTCTGAAAGCTTCTCTCTCCCTTAGTAGAAAACTTTCCTTTGGCGACGCTGAGAGAAAAAGAACCAAGGGAGAAAAAGAACAAAATATGCTTAAAGAAAGGTTTAAATTTTGGCTTAACTTAATCTGATATGACAGGCATTCAAATGCCTCTGATGATAGTTAACATAGTGCCACTGTAGAGCAGAATTAAAGCTATTCTCCTGGAAAAGTTTCAGCTATGAAAAATAGGAGATCCGTACACATGGCAAGTGCAGCCCCTGCAGGTACTGCTGCCTGCCTTGCCTACCTGTGCCACAAAAGCCAGGTAGGCTGTGGGGCTGGTCCCCAGCACAGGATGGGATTGTGGGGCTGAGATACTTTTGGTGTGGTGACTCTGGAGTGCTGTGGGGCATAAGAAATGCAAGTGCCTGCAACATTAAATCAGAAAGAATGATTTTCCTTGGGCCAGCCATTAGGTCCTGGTTTATCTTTTTTCCATTTGGGCTTCACAATAGTTGAATTTGTGACCAGGAGCAGCTGAGAGCTTGTGTGTCCTTGTGCATGGTACCCAGGGACAGCGATCTGTTGTAGCTGTTTCAGTCTTCTTTGTGATCTTTGTACATTGAACTGGAAACATTTATAGAATAAATTGCCTGAAACGGGATTTGGCTTTACACTCCAATTCCCACATGCAGGAAGGTGAACTTCAGTGAGCTGCACAGCAAGAAATAAAGCTCAGGGGAGTCTTAGAGGATGTGTAAGGACAGGGTTTTAGTTATGCTCTTCTCTGGCTCCTCCACATTTCAGCTATGTCACTTTCATCTCTATTATCCATCAGGAACAGCACCAGCATAGAGGCACTGCAACACCATTTCAAGGTAACACATTTTACTCTGCAAGTGGGATATAGGCCTGGAGCATGACCCAGATTAGCTGCCACAGCTGAGCTGACAAGGCTGTGGTGTTGGAGATAGTGAGCATGAGAGCACAGCCTCTGTGTAGGGTACCTGCATTCAAACTGCTTTTCACAGTGACTGGTTTTTACCAACTCTCCTAACAGTAGTTTACAATAGCTTAGATGAAGTGTAGCACAATACATGTGGGTAATTGCAGGGTAATGTTAGTCTTCAGATTTACACTCTGCTAAAGTTTAATCTTTGGTAATGAGAGTAGAAAAGGCTTTGTTGTCATTTTGACATGCATATACCTGCATGTGTACACGTTTTTACACACTGTGAACAAGACCCTCAGATAGCTCTAATCTGTAAACCTCCTGCTGCGATCAGTGAGCTACATGCATCTCCACTAAAGGAGTATCTCACTTTCTACATAAATCTGAAGTGTGCTAAGATTCAGAAAGCAATTCTCTTTAGCAATCCCTTTTCATTATAAACAAAACCTTTGAAACAGTTAACGTATCAACATTTTAGAACAATCCAAAGAACAGAAGACCCTTTTCTCATTGTATTTTCTCCTTTTTCCTTTCCTTTCCTTTCCTTTCCTTTCCTTTCCTTTCCTTTCCTTTCCTTTCCTTTCCTTTCCTTTCCTTTCCTTTCCTTTCCTTTCCTTTCCTTTCCTTTCCTTTCCTTTCCTTTCCTTTCCTTTCCATCTAAGTTTGACTGCTGGGATAAATTCAACAGCTCAGTGTCTAGGAACATCAGACATACAAGCTGAAGAATGTGAAAAAGAAAATTAAAAAAAAAAAGGAAAGACAAATGTGTTTTATCAATGCCAAATGAATCTATGGTCTGCAGAAGGAAGTAAGAAGGAAATTCTCCAAGAACAGCCATTGGCAACTGGTGTAATCACAAATAGAAATGAGGTCACCTAAATAGCCTCGCCCTCAGCCTGTCTTAGGTCTCCATTTACCCTGTCTACCAATGTGAGACAGGTGCAGGGGCTGCAATTTGTTTTCTTTTTGAGTCTAAAGAAACACAGCTTTGATGTAGCATCAGGAAAGTTTCTTTACTGTGAGAGTGACAGAGCACTGGAACAGGTTGCCCAGGGGGGTTGTGGAGTCTCCTACGTTGGAGATATTCAAGGCCCGCCTGGACAAGCTCCTGTGTGATGTACTCTAGGTTACCCTGCTCTTGCAGGAGGGTTGGACCAGATGATCTTTTGAGGTCCCTTCCAACCCTTAGGATTCTGTGATTCTGTGAGTTACGGGCCACCTCGTTTCATCTCTGTGAGGACTGCATGTCCCCACTTGTAGGTAATATCCCTGCACAGGCAAATACATGATTTTTTTTGTTTTGTATGCTGTTTGTGAATGCAAGATCCACCTTTGGGTTTTGTCCCTTAATATGCTAAAGCCCTGATACACATAATTACACCACCCAGTCTGAAAATCCCCTTGAAATTAATATGATTTTTGCAATGTGGTTTTGTTTTGTGTAGCAGAGAATGTGGCACGGGCCCAGCCAAAATCCTTTCTATCCCTTTCTATTGATTTTTTTACTTTTGTTTTTTTCTTTGACATAAGAGATTGAAAATATTTTTCCATATGTCAGTTGCAGAGCTGTGTAATAAGCAGTGGGCCGTGAATCTAATGTTCATACTCATGTCAGTGGAAAGGTTTTTTATCTTGTCCCTTGCTAACACATGGAGTTTCCTGGTAACAGCTAAATACATTTCTTGTCACGAGAATTACGTTCCCCAGGAGCAATGGTGCTAAACCAAGGCGTGTTATTGAAGATCAGCTACTTTATCAGCTGTTGTTATATTGATGTGTAAAGGCAATGAGCTGTGCTTTTATTGTTCACATCCAGTCCCAACAATATGGAGTGTATTTAACAAGCAGGTGGGCCAGGTAAGGAGGGGCTGCTGTTTGATTTCCCTTTGCTCCACACACTGGTGACAGGACGTGATGTGTTACCTCCCCCAGGGTTACTGGTGGCTGATGCACAACCTGGCCACCACTTCCTCCCCAGCATAGGCAAACAAAACCGTGTGCAAACCAGCTTCCTCCTGAATATTGCCTGTGCAGGGTGCGCTTCACAGGAGCAGTGGTGGTTCACTAAGTGCAGGAAGCACAACAGCACTGTCAATATCCTGCCCTGACGGCCACACAAAATGCAGTGATATGATCCAAAAGCAATCCAGTTTCCTTCTAGGCAAATGCAGAGGTTAAATGGCTGAATGTGTTCTTCTATTTTGCCTCTCTTTAGTTTTCTTCTGGTTTTTGTAAGCTTCTGTCCCTTAAGCAAAAGGTTCTGCTTCATGCCATAGGGTCTGCAACAACGCATCAGGGCAGACCCATTAACTACAGGCATATCAGCTAATGTATGTATTAGTATCTAATAGTAATATATTAGATACCCTCTCCTCCCTTTTCTGTTCAGTTCAATCAAATTCAATTTACAGTTCATGGAAAAAAAAGCAAAGAAGGTGAATTCCTGCCACATTTAGTGGTTTGCCACTAATTTTTCTATGCAGCTGTGGTGCTAGTAGTTGAACTAGGACAGTGAATGCGTGAGAATTGCTTTCATGCCCCCGTGAGCAACAGTCCCTCTGAGCACACAAGGGTGGGTTGTGTTAGCTCTTCTATAAAACAAACAAGGCTGGACTCTGCCTTTGTTGCTTGCCTGTCTGAGGAGGAAATGGTCTCGTGGCTGTCAGACGCTGTACCTTCCAGGTACCATGTGCAGGTAAAGAAAAGGCTTTACCTTGGCATTTAAAAGTTAATTGACAATTTTCATTTTTCCAGACACTGTGGGGAAAAAAAAACACAAACAAAAAGCCGTTAACAAGGGTTTTAGTCTAACAGTGAGATTGTGCAGCAGGTCGTGCTATGATATTTGAACAATTGCCTACAGATGAATAGAGAACTCCAGCCTTTCATTAACAGCTGACTAAATAGAAAAAAAATGAAGATATTTGATTCTTTGATTGCTCCATGCTGTAATTACTTAGCAAGGATTCCCCACCTAGATTTTTGTGGTGGCTACACCTCTGCAGGATAGTGCGGCCCATGGGGCACATACACCATGCTGCACATGTGGGCTCAGAGCGTTGCTGATGGTTTCCTGGCATGTTCCAAGTAATTTCTGTGTCTCTCTCCCTTTCTCACAGGACATTGTCAAAGACCCCCAGTTTATCCTTGGAGGAGCCACAAGAACAGACATTTGTCAAGGGGATCTTGGTGAGTGATTCTCCCTGGGCTGATGCAGTCATGCCTACACCCCATGAGCAGCAGCAGGAATATCTTTACACATTGAGAGGATGTTGTCCCTCCTGAGCTGGTGGGAGCAGTGAAGGTGGAGGTGAGCCATGCTCACCTTGCCTGCAGCCATCTTTTTGGTAGCACCCTCCCATCCATGCCAGGGACCATCCTGGTGCAGTGGGGTTCAAGATCAGGGAAGGATCTCCATGTGAGGGTACTGTGAGCCCAAGGGAATCTTTTGTCTACCAGCACCTCCAAACTGCAGCAGTCTCCCCTGGTCAGACGGGGACATACTTCCTGGGAACACACAGGCTGTATTTTGGATTTCAAGAGGGGTGGAAGCTAACTTCCATAACATCTTCTCTAGGCCCTAACTCACCTTTTCTCCTTTGAAGGAAAGAAAGTGAGGAGTTTTTTACCTTTTCTCAATTCACAGGTGACTGCTGGCTATTGGCAGCCATAGCTTCTCTCACACTGAACAAAAAAACACTATCAAGAGTGGTGCCACTGGATCAAAATTTTGGGCCAGATTATGCTGGAATATTTCATTTCCAGGTAAGATAAACACATCACATAGGCTGGCACAGCATGAGCACTTTTCTGTCATTATATTTCACGGTCTATTTTGCAGTGGGGTTGCCAGTTATTGCAGAGGAGAAATTGAAAAAACATGGATTGCTGAGCTTACAGTGTTCATGTTTTGAGAAACAACCTAGTGGGCTATGTCAGCCTCCCACAGTCATGCCATTTCTGCTCTGTAGAGAGATGTATGGCTTTAGATATTATGTCACATTTTCCTTGGCACACAAACTCCACTTAGGATGTAAGGAATTGTAGTGGGATATGTAATGCATGTGTGTCTTGGAGGTGACTTGAATCATGTGGTGACCACTTGTGTAGCTGCATAAGTAACATTATCCAGACAAGGAGCTACAGTACAGCTCTGCACTTTTAGTCTTAGTCTTTTCTTAAGATATATTACCCTTCTTTCAGAGCAGTCTAATATGTTACAGTGGGAATGGATGGTTTACATATGACTTCTAATCAAGCCTGTGACTTGCAACTAGAAGTGCTGGGACACCAGAGTGCTGCACTCAGGAAATGACATGCTGTCACCAAACTCATGTCCCATACTTTCTAAACAGTTTTGGCAGCACAACGAGTGGCTGGATGTCGTGATTGATGACAGATTACCCACCTTCAATGGCCGGTTGGTTTTCTTGCACTCGGCTGAATGCAATGAATTTTGGAGTGCCTTACTAGAGAAAGCCTATGCCAAGTAAGTCATTGCAGATGCATAAATTCACTATTTGTACATAGCGCAACATGTATATAGCACAATGTGTACACACATTATTCACAACTCCAGCGAACAGCTTCTATCCAGTATTTTTTGGTGGCAGTGAAGTGTTTTTTGCATTTGCTGTTGCCCTGAGCTGAAGATGTTATGCCTATCTCTTGTGAGCTGGTCCAGCTTCCAGCACATCATTAGATAAACCCCTAGCTGACAGCAACAGAGTTGCATCAAAGCCTGAATCCTGACATTTGTGTCTCTGCTCAGACCTCAGTTGATGGTTCTGCCTTTCTAAATGATTTGGCAGGTAGCAAGCCACTGACACACAGTGATGTTCAGTCCTTGCCAACCTGACAACTGGCACTAAAGAAAGAAAAAAACACAGGCTTTAGGGATATAGAGAAATGAATGAATTAAAAATGCAGTTAACAAAGAAAGCAGAATGATCCCAGTACTCCTCCCATTTATCCTGGATGCATTCTGGGATACTTCTTTTGACTTCAGTGCCATTGATGCAATTTTATGCCCATGTGAGAAAACTCTCAAACACGGGTTTCTTCAAAGTTTTGAAAGAAAGTCTCATGGTCAGTGTGTGTTTTCCAGGCTGAACAGCAGCTACGAGGCTCTGAAAGGAGGCAGCACAATAGAAGCCATGGAGGATTTCACTGGGGGCGTAGGAGAAACGTATGAGGTTAAAAAGGCTCCTGACAATTTCTATGAAATCCTAGAGAAAGCTCTGAAAAGATGCTCCATGGTGGGCTGCTCCATTGATGTAAGTAAGAAATAGGGGCTGCATTTCTCTGTTTAGCTTTGTGGTTTCAGTGCTAAAAAAAATTAATTTAAGACAGTAGTTGGATATGCACTTAACTTTGCAAATAATAACTATGAACTGATTGGATATGTAGTATTAATGTAGTCATTCTTACAGTTGTTTAAAAGACAAGAAGAATTTATCACTTTTCAGGAGGTGGTGGACACTGTATTTAAGGCAATAATGACATGAGTGCGAGCACTTGCTGAGAGTGAACTTTATTTCTTGACTTACTTGGTTGCTTAGCATTAAAATCGGTCATAGCTTTTTGAGGACTTACTGGTTCGAGAGATTACAAAATTGGGGTTGTTTTTTCAGCCCTGAATTCTGCCGTCACCACTCCATCAATATCTTTTCAGAAGAAATGAGACCGTATCACACCTGACCTCAGTGTGAGAGCAGCTTTCACCATTCCTTAGCTAACATAAACTACGTTTGAATGGGAGTTAAGATTGAGATCCAGAAACACAGATGATGTTGATACAAAATCCCAGGGACAGAGAAGGTGTTTTAGCCTGGAAACACCTCATTTTCCTTATGTGTGAACAATGCTTAAAAAGAAAAATAAAAAATTGAAAAATCCCTTCCTCAAGGGCTCAGAGGGCACCACTGCACCATCACTGCCTGCATCGAGCAGACAGCCAAGTTGTCTGCTCACACTACTGGTTAGCCACTGAGCTCCCACCTGATGCTTGAAAGGGACCGGTTTGCACCACTTGCAATCTCACTCTGAAAAAAGAGATTCACACCTTTTTTCTGTATTTCAGACCAGCAGTGCTGCCGAGTCAGAAGCCAAAACCCCCTTTGGCCTTATAAAGGGCCACGCTTACTCTGTGACTGGCATTGATGAGGTATGTTCAGCAGTGCAAAGGAGAAAGATAAGGGAATGTTCCTGGACCTCAGGTGGCAGGGGGAGTTATCCTCAGGGTTTATCGAACTTCCCATCAACCCTTCCCTCCCACGTCTGTAGCAGCCTGCACCTTTTGCCCGGCTGTTACACCAGCTTGCCCAGCCTCTGCACACAGGAGAAGTCCTGAGCCCTAGCTACTGACACTTGAAATTTTCTCTATTTCTTTCTTCCCCAGGTGAGCTATCGGGGCCGGCAAGTGCAGCTCATAAGGATAAGGAACCCCTGGGGACAGGTCGAGTGGAATGGCCCTTGGAGTGACAAGTGCGTGAGCTGTCCCATACATGCTGGCCTCACAAGGGCCAAATCCCAGCTGCTGCTCCACAGCTGCCTTTCTGCAGCCCCAGCTATTCACAGAAAATGAAATCAAGAGTTTGCACGTGCATACCAGTGTTAGTGCCTTACTAACATGTCACCCCTGGTGTTTTCAGAGCTGCCCATTTATGGGGACACTGTAAAGTTGTTTAGCCACCAAAATCTAGCATTAGCAAAAAATATTCATTAATACTGAATGATGGGGTAAGTTAATTTTAATAATGAGATAAGTTAATTTTAAGACACTACTGATGGGAAAAATCATACATTTAGAGTGAATTTTCATTCAATTTTTACAAGGCTGTTGCTGTAGTACTTGTAACGCAACATCTGTACTTTGTCCTACTGCAGATAAGCTGGAAATTGATACTGTATTACCCCCTATAAGTAGCTTATGCATCTCTGCTTGTATTTACTGATCTTGGTTTCTAAGCACATTAGGGATATGCAGGAACCTTACAGGTTATATATGACCATTCAATGAGATCCTCCTGATGTGGTACCTACCAAAGATGTGAAAGAACCCAAAAGCACAATAGGATTGGGCTGAAAACCAGTCTGATTTTACTACCAAATGTAAACAAAGTGCAGATAATAGAAAAGAAAAAAAGTATAATAAAACCCAACACTGCATTCTCCCCCAGCATACACTTTTTGGTGTATTTTTGCACATACGTACAGCTTCATTTCTGTTTCACTCTCTTTTACCATGTTTTTTGTATTCATACAGTTGTAGAGGACAGAAACCATAACCTACTTGGCTCTTTAAAATTGTTGAGACCCAAAGTCATCTGCAAGATTACTTTGAATGACCCTGTCCTAAACATGACCCAGAAATAAATGAAATATTTCCACATCAGCTCTGATCCTTTGTTGCCTTGAAAAAGAAAAATGTGGATAATTGGCATATATAATGAGTGATTAAATCTCAGAATATTGAGAGGTTAAGATCAGGACAGGCATCTGGCAATTCCTGCTGTTTATTGAAAAAGGCTGTGCAAAGCAGAGCTCTAGTTCTGCACTCGGTAGGTTTTCTGGAACTCAGGGTGCAAAGGGGCTTACAGGTCAATACAAGAATCTGTAATAACATTTTGCAGTGGTTACTGGAGTTAAAAACCTCAACACAAGAGGCCTGCTACTGCCTGTTTATTACGTCAGACTGGAAATGTGGCAGGGCATTTTGGTTTTACAAAAAGCTTTGTCAGGTTTTTGTTTAGTTTTGATCTGCCACAGCTGGAGTTGTAGATGTGGATGAAAAGAAGGCAAATACTTTACCTGAAACCCCAGCGACTCCAGCAAATCTTCCTTTATGAGGAAGGAGCCTACCCAGTTCCTATTGACTCAATTTTGAAGAAATATCTGACCCTAAATTGCTGACAAACGTAAAGCAGGAGATGGGGCTACAGGTGGAAAACAGATTTAAGGAGAGGTGTGACTTACCAAATCTTGATGTTTACCAATAGCCCTATTATACCCAACTCCAGAACTTGACAGCAATCCCAACTCTGACTGCAGGCAATAACTCACACAGGACCATCCCACAGCAGCTTCAGAATCTTTGGTCCTGCTTCCAGTTATGTTGGTTGGGTCTCTGACCATGAGTAATAGCAGGATTCAGGAAACCTCTTAGATGCATCTTTCTTTTTGTGAGCTGATCAAATGAAACACATGTGGAAGAACAGCCTGCTGCTGTGTCCAGCCAGTCGTTCTGAGCCACATACTGTAGTAAAGCTTGGGTTTGTTTTCTTGCAGCTCTCTGGAGTGGCGTTCAGTCAGCCCATCAGAGCAGAGACGCCTGTCTCAGGCAGCACAGGATGATGGAGAGTTCTGGTAAGCCATGGGGTTTAAAGTGTGTGGATCTAGTCAGAAATCATGGTGTAAGTGACCAATAAGGAAAGTATCTGTGTGAGAAAATGCTCAGTTTCCGCCTAGGAGAGGGCAGGTAGAATGATAACTTGGTTTTCTGTGTTTCATGCGTGCCCATGTCTATTTTAATAACAAAATGCATTATAAAAGTCAGCTTAGTTAATGGTATTATCATATTTCAAATACCATGTGTCTCCCTTTGATGTAACACCCTTTAAATCCTTCCCATGAATAAAGGTAGGCTCTACAGAAAGGAGCATTGTATTGCACTCTATCACCTTTGAAATACCTTCAGGGGTGATGCTAGTCATACACTGGAAGGGAAGGGAGTCCCGAGGAGCAGTGCTACTTGTTACAGAAAGTAAAAGAACACAAAGTTATGATGTGTGAAATGATGGAAAATTTGAAGAAAAGATGAAATTAAAAGAGAAAAAAAAAGTGGTGAAAATTGCTTTAGAAGTGTGAATTGCTCCTCATGCCAAATTCACAATCTCAGACAGAGCAGATGGCTGACTTGCACATGATGTAGTCCCCCCCTCATATCAACCATGCTGTGCACTTCTGACAATGTGTCTAATCACATTTTCTAAGGCCAAATACTCATCTGTTTTACATAGAGGTAAATCCAGAGAGCTGTGCAGAGGGCTATTCCAGATTTTTCATGCAAGTTAATCCAAAGTTCAACTTTAGGCCCGAAAAATGATTTATGGTAGACAATGCAGCAGGTTAAGCTATATTAAGTGATTTATCCCCAGTTTTGATAGCTCTGGAGGGAAGACGGTCCAGTGGCTGATCCATTACTTAAATATTTTTACTTAGGCTATTTTGAGTTATTTTGCTATTGACATTGCAAATGAAATAGGGCATTAGCAGCTTTTCCAAAAAGCTTTTGTGTTTGGTTTGGGTTTTTTTGTCTGTGTTTGACCTGTCTACAGCCGGAACTTATGAGGTGAAAGAAAAGGAGTCAAAGACTTTACCTGGAAACCAAGTAACTTCAGCAAGTCCATGCAGGGCACGACTTACAGCCTGGCTGTGTAATGGAGGTGCAAACGTGCTAGTAGGCATCGAATGAGTAATGAAATACATTAATAGGTCTGTCCAACAGAGCTAAACTGACAGTTAAGTCCCCTGGGGAGGCAAATAAAAATTAATGAGGCTGAGCATACCCAGACAAATGTTGACTTTCCTCATCCAGCATCTCAGTCATTCAGATCAGAAACAAAAGCCCCTGGGACAGAAATTTCTACTGAAGGGGTTAAGTGGAGAATAATTACATGCAGAAGATAAGAAATGCTTCCAAAACCCGTCAGGCAAGTTTGATACCAGCTAAACCTCCACCCAGTCCGTCAGGCTTATTTTTCCTAATACCTTTTGACTTCTGTGTATTTCTCTAAGGAGTGTTTGCCTCTTTGCCCCCCTCTAAGCCACACCTTGATAGTTTCCCTATTAGGCTTCACATACAGACTTTGTGTGAGCAGTAATGTGATATATCTGTAAAGACGTTAAAATGGTCTGATGATCTACACTAGCGGGGCTAGCTGGGTCCTATCAGCTACTGTTGCAGATAAAAATGCAGTCCTGGAGAGCTTTTGCTCTCCTGCTACTCCATTCTGTTGTTAGGCATTGGCCACTGGAGGAAAAAGATGGGTGTTAAAATTTGTGTTAGGGAAGAGATCAGTTTCTGTACATTATTTCATGGTCCATGGAAAAAGAGGGCCAGAGGACACATCTGGATGCTAAATTGCCCTCAGAAAGGCCTAATACCTCTGCTTTTTTACAGAGAGAAGTTCAGCCTGCCAAGGCTACCTTCAGTCTTAGATCATCAGTGGGCCTCCCCTCCTTGCAGTGCCCACCATGCAAACTGCTGTCTCTTAGCTTTCCTGCTCTGTTCCATTTGCCCAGGGATGCATACCATGGCCAGTGGTGCCTGGCTCTGTCTGCCCCCTCTCTTGGCTCTTTGCCCAGTCCTGAACACAAAGCTCTTTCTCCAGCAGGACTGTTGGTATCTTATTGATCTTTTACTTGGTAGATAAAATCACAGGGCTTATCTGCTGCTCGGCATGCTGAGCAGTCTAGTTTCAACCAGCCCAGCCTAACAGCTCAAAAACATCTGTCTTGTGGCATTTGTTTCCTCCTTCCCACGGCCAAGTATAGGTGTCCACCTTGGGTATAAAATATATGTAATGCAACCTAAAACCGTTCTATGATTCTGTGGTTCTGTGTGACACAGTAGCAGGCAGCAGTGTTTCTATACCACCTGAAAAGGCAGGCAGGAGCCACTACTCAAGTCCAAACATCCTTTTTGCCTCTCATGTTTGGTGTATGTTTTTGCTGGGATAGGATCCTAGGCACTCATAAAGGAGGGGAGGGTGAGCAGCTTGAAACTAGGCACCTTAGCAGAGGCCCAAGTGTGACTTTAATTGAAGTGCAGACAGACTAATCATACCATGGCTTGGCTAATCCATCACCATGTGTTCCCTGTAGTGCTGTCATGCAGCTGGCACTGGATGCTTTGTAGGTAGGTTTAGCTCCTGCACAGATGCCTGCCATACTTTGGTAGGCTTTTTGGCAATATAGGTGCAGCCATTAAGGCCAGGATGGTGTTGATGAAATCACTCTTTCCATCACAGATTTTGTGCCAATGTCACCTTTTTTCATCTTATGCTCAATGGTAACTGAATAAAATCAATAGAGTTATAGTGTGAAAAGAAAGGTATTAAGAGATGTCAGAGTGAGACCCAGACAGTAAGGTTGCTTATAGTTTACACCACAGTGAGCGAGAGATAGTTTCTCCCCTGGTGTACATCAGCATACCTCCATGGTCACTGAAACTATTCAGATTCACACAAGCTGGTGATCTGGCCCTCGGATTCCAGGGTGTAAGTAATTGTGCTGGGCATCCTTCACTGAAGTGAATGACTGCCTGTTCCTTCCCATGTCTTTTGCTCAGGATGAAATTTGAAGACTTCAAAGTCCATTTTGATAAAGTTGAGATCTGCAACCTGACTCCAGATGCCCTGGATGACAGCACTGCGCACAAGTGGGAGGTGACCATCCACCAGGGGAGCTGGGTCCGGGGATCCACTGCAGGAGGATGTAGAAATTTCCTAGGTGAATAGATACTGCTTTGAAAATGAGAAGCCAGCACTGAAGTCTTTACCCACTCTTAGCCACCTTTCCTGTTACCCCATAGCAAGAATTGTGGGTGCAGGCCAGGCCAGCTGATGCTCAGCTAGCAGGAACCAGCCAAAAGGACAAATGTTCATATGGTCCCACTTGAGAGTTTGCAGTGTAAGAGCTGCTTTCTTTGCTCTCAAGTTCACTGGATCTGATTTGCCTCTTTACATTTGCATGAGCAGGACTAGCTCCAAATAAGTCCCTTAAATTGCAGCAGTAAGTGTAAAATGAGAAAAAATCCAACTCAGCCAGCATGTTTATGTGGCTCTGAAGTAGCAGCATGGACCTTAAATGTATTACTCCAGATTGGCACCAGCACTATGGGATCATTGTAGTACTGTACTTTTAACAAAATCCTATCTGACAACTTTATTTAAACCACAGTAACTTAATAAAACATCAGGCATAAAATCTTTTCTACACCTAGTTCCATGAAGGACTTTAGAATCTGGCTTATTTTCTGCAGAGCTTAGTGGAAAGAAGCATGACAGGGAATGGAAAAACTAGATTTGAGCAAAACCTCAGCTTAATTGCCCTTTTTGTCTTCTTTTATTTTTTCTTTTAGTAGTAGTAGTGGTGGTATTATTATTCTGAGGCAAGGAACTCTCTGGTGTTCTTTACATTGGCAGACACTTTCTGGACAAACCCACAAATCAAGCTGCATTTGACAGAAAAAGACGATGGACAAGATGAGTGCACATTCATAGCGGCGCTGATGCAGAAGGATCGCCGTAAACTCAAGAAGCTTGGAGCTGAAATGCTAACCATAGGCTACTCTATTTATGAGGTACTTTACTGCTTTTAAAGCGCAGTAGCTGCACTATCAGTATTAGCATCTTTCTCTGGGTTTGTACCCCTGCCAGCTATTATGTATTTTTAGGGCCCTTGCTCATGAAATAATCTTCTCATTACATCAAGCCCCACAGAGTATTTTACATGGTTGGGATGATGCCCTCTCAGAGAAGGATTTAGGAGTCCCTACGGGGCCGTGGGTTCCCAGGGTAGACTCCTTGGCCCCATGATTCTGTCATCCTCTGCCTGGTTCTTAAAGAGGGATGTTGCTTCTTATGAGCCTCTTGGGGTGCAGGAGTGCCTGTCCCCCAAGTGAGGTTGGAATTGGCAAATCTGTTGTCACTGCTCCCTGACACCCTGCCTGGGATTGTGGCACTCAATGGCGGGGAATATTTCAGAGGGAAGACAATATCCTAGAATCCTATTAGACTGCCTATTAGACTGCCTGGGTGGGAAAGGACCACCAGTAGTGGGTCTTTGCCATGAGGTAGGAGCTGGGGTGCTGCAAGTACCTGGATGAAGGGATGAGAGTCAGGATCCCAGCCGGGTGAGAGGCTTGTGCCAGGCAGAGTTTGGCTGTGTGACTGGGAAAGGGGCAAGGATGGCCCCTGCACACACTGGGTAGTGCAGCACTGCCTTTGTTTGCCTTTCTAGAGCCCCGGCAGAGATGGACACTTGGGCAAAGACTTCTTCAGGTACCACCCCTCCAAGGCCAGGAGCAAAACGTATATTAATTTAAGGGAAGTGTCTAACAGATTCAAGCTGCCACCAGGAGATTACATTCTTATTCCAACCACGTTTGAGCCGCACCAGGAGGCAGATTTCTGCCTGAGGATTTTCTCTGAGAAGAAGGCCATCACTGAGTAAGTCAGATGTGAGCTCTGTGCCCTCTGGTGTTCACCTGCATGTCAGGCTGGTTGCTGCTGGGGAGTCTGGCTGCTGGACACCTAGCCCTAGAGCAGAGCCCTGGCATGGAAAGCTCCTGCCCATTTTTGCTAAACCTGACGCTTCTTTTGGAGAAGAGTTTAGTAGGTGGTGAAATAGAGCTTGCCATGGTGAGCCTGCTAGAAGCTTGACAAGTAAGAGTCGCTAGCTACTTGATACTGTTCAGGACTCTCTGAATGTAGCAGTATTTGTTTCCTGCTGGTTTCCTCCCTGAGTTTGTCTGAATGACGATTTTGTACTAAGAAAGGGTATTGAGGAAAAAGTGTGTGCACAACGAAGAAAGAATGAGATGAATTCTTTAGCAGGCAGCATGCACAGCTGTGCCCTCCCTGAGCCTTGCTTCAAGTCTGGTTTTAGGGGCTTACACCAAAATTCAAACAGTGCAAAATTGTGCTTGTCAGATGAATTTTAGCTAAACTTAACCTGTTCAATAAAAAATACAGTCTCATCATTCCCCTCTGGAAAATGTAATGAGCAAGATTCCACCCCAAGCAGATGTTGAATATCCTCAGATACTGAATAAGGTTTTGTTTTCTCTAGGGATCTAGATCAGAACGTTGCCATTGATCTCCCTGAGGTAAGCCTATAAGAGTTAAAATAGCAAGAGAATAGCTCAGCAGAAGCCAGCACACACTTCTTTTACTGTCTTTGGCTAAAACACGTTCGTTTCACAGGAATGTTACACAACTGCCAGCTTTGTGTATGTGACTGAAACAGCCAGTTCTGCTGAATATGGTAAAAGAGCTGTAACAATCAAAATCATAATCATTGTGCTTCTGCATCCACTTGAAGGCAGCCAGCATCAGCTGGCAACAGAGTGTATCAGCCACCGTGGGTGCAGTGAAAGCACACCTGTTAGCACCAGGGAGGCACACAGCCATTCACATCTTTAAAATTTTATAATGAAAAAAAGAAGCAGCAAGAGAATGCCTACACTGGTTTTTCATACAAATGACTTCATTTTACTTATCAATATCTGCAGGGCTTGGGAGGGAACACTAGGCACATGTGCGTGCCTATTGAAATGATTGAGTTCTTGTTTCTGAATGGCCTGGTCTGCCTGCTGAGCACTAATTGCAGCTGAGTCTGAGTCAGCTCCTGTTTAAGTGTATCCCTGCAAATAGACCGTGAATTGTGGTGTGTCTTCCCATGGAAACAAGCTAAACCAAGACCTCAAGTGTGTCTCTTTTTCTGGGTTCTCAGGGCCATGTTCAGTAGCAAAGTAAATCTGTTCACCTGTCCCAGTATCATTAAGGGACTGCATACAAACTTGAGCAGAAATAAGTGAGGAACAACCCTGCCCAGGGCAGGGGGGTTGAAACCAGATGATTTTAAGGTCCTTCCCAACCCTAACCGTTCTATGATTCTAAAATACATACAGTCAAAAAAACTGTAAGTGGCCAAGCAGTGTCAGCATGGCCACTCTGGTGACAGTACACTAGATAGCACCCATGTTGTATCTTCTGTGGATAGGCAAAACAAAGCCCTACTCTTTGCTTCCTACGCTGTGCTGTTGCCTTCTCTTTCCCCACTTTTTTGGCCAAGAACTCTCTCTTCACATGGTCACCCCAACTATAGCAATGGTTCCGTACTATTTCATCTCTCTGGTCATCAGTGTAGACTGAAGCCTGGTCTCTACCCCCCTGAGACTGCACGGAGGCACTCAGCTGGCAGCCAGCTGAAAGCGTTTCCAGGCTTAGGATGGTGCCGAGTAATGTCCCAAAGTGCATCCACATCTGGCTGGTGCTCTAAAGAAGGACAAGAGGTCCTTGAATGATGCTGCTGGAAAGAGCTTGGTATAGCTGTGGTTGTTCAAGGACCAGGGAATCAGAGTGGTGCATGGGTGGGATGAGAGAAAAGCTGTTTGCCGGGATGGGTGCTCTTGATTTTGACATAGCAAAGGCAATGGCAGACTACACAACCACCCAGGAAAAGGAAATGAGGGAGTGAGACTCCCCTTGGGCAGCTAGGTGGTTGGGTGGCCTCAGGTCTACCAATGTTCAGGAGTATGTGTAGCCTTATTTTAACATGTACTCTGGTCCTCTGATGCACAGAGGGGCTATATGCAGGAGAAATGTAATGGTTTACAATTCATCTAATGACTTCTGTGGTTGATGTTGCAGCCCATAACCCCAACCCCAAACCCAGAAGAAACTGAAGAAGAAAAGCTTTTCAAGACACTGTTTGAGCAGATTTCAGGAAAGGTGAGTGTAAAACCCTTGTGGGTCATAGTGAGATATGGAAAGAGGTGAGACACTTCTGCTGGCCAGGTGAAACATTTTTTTGGGAGCATGCTTAGTTGTAGTGTGTTGTTTGGGCACCAGATGTCACCATGCCTTATGTCTAGTTGGAGAAGGGTTCAGTTGCTGGTGAGCAAGCAGGAGGACCAAAGGGAACTCAAGGTCTGAGGGAGCTTATTTGGTTCAGTGTCCAACTGCAGTTTACTTTCTCTGAATCAGTGGTTCCTGCTGGAGATCTCCTTCAGCTAGACTTATGCACAGCAGCCCTTTAATTTTTAGCCTTTTCTGGGTTTTGTATGGTTCTCTTTTCCTGAGTTGCAATAAAGTACAGATGGGTAATGTTTGTGTTTTTTGAGGGTTTTGGTATGTTTGATTACAGAAATATTCAAGTAACAGATGCTATACTTTTTTTTCTTTATTTTATTTTACTGTAGGACATGGAGATATCTGCAGAAGAACTTGAATATGTTCTGAGCGCTGTATTAAAAAGAAGTAAGTGCTGATATCCTCTGAGGTAAGCGGTGTAAAGAACTTTATAAAAGCTGCCATTAAATGCATTTACAGACAGGTTGTGTTATGACTCCTGCTTGATGTCCTCTAGCCAGCTGTGCAGAGCCAGAAAACATCTGGTCTGTGATCTAAACACTACCTTGCCCTGCCTCCAGCATGAGGACTAAGAGGCAGCTATGCCCACTTATGAAATCCTATTTTCTACTTTCAGTTTATAAAAGGCAGATTTACCCAATGGCTTCTTTCTTATTATTGTGCTTTTCCAGCAAAGAACATCAGATTCAAGAACTTAAGTCTCATTTCATGCCGAAATATCATTTCTCTGATGGATGTATCCTTTCGAATAAGTGCTTGAGAGGCTAAATGAATGCTGACTACAATTGTCCATAGGGTTACCTGTCATGGATATCAGAGACGAATGTGGTAATGCCATGGCAGAACACTACCCAAAGAAAAAAATAATACGTGAAAGTTGTATACTGATTTTTCTCATAGAAATTTAGGGCTAGGACCTTCAAGACAGACTATTTTCTACTGCAGACTTAGAGGCAGATGCTTTAATGCTGAGCACTTTTAAAAGTAATTCTCAAATTACTTCCATATAGACCAGTGCATTTTTCAAGCAGTGGTTTATTTGAAAAAGGCCTAGAAGAGATAATTCCAGAAAAGTCTGTTTTCTGGAGGGTGAAGTTCACCAGGCAGAGTTGTGCCTGCAAGTTATGCGTCAGAAATTAAGGACCAGCAGAGTGTTGAAAATTACTGATATCAAAGCTGTGGGGGTTTTTGACAGCCAGACTAATAGCTGGAAAATCTGGTCTTACAGCTAGATCCTGGAACTCCAGGAAGCAGACATGTGGGCAAAAAGTTTGTCCAAATTTAGTCATTTGTGGTGTAGGTGTCTACATCTAAGCTAGCTTTCTAGACTTCCTTTATAGATAGTGAAAAAGATGGTTTAATTATGCTTGTTCTGGATGCACCCGACTGTGAGGAATGCTAAATAAGTGCTCAGACATTAGGTGAGATGAATCATAGCCCTGGTACTTCCCCGCCAGCTTCATCCTTTGCAATGTTCTGGTGCCTGTAGAGTTTGCTTAGCATGGCTTCTCCTCAGGTAGGCGTGTTTTTCACAGCATGCTTTCCTGATAGACAGTTTTGTTACATGTGAGACAGAACAGGTACTGTTCTAACAAGGCAAGTATCTAACATTTGCTTTATGTCTTGCTTGTTCAGCCGAGAAGTTCTTACCTTTTGCTTTGTTTGCTGTAGTCCGTGACAGAGGTAACATCCTCTCAAACACTAGAGAAGAAAACCAAAACAGACAAAACTTTGTCCTGTTAAAGCAATATCCATAATGTTTAAATTTAGTGCAGATCAGTCACCATACAGATACAGTGAGAAACAGGGCACCAGTCCTGAATTTCCTCCCTTAAGAGCCAAGCTTCAATAGGGAGCTGGTCCATGTTCACATCTCATCCTTACATGGTATTGGGACAGAGCCAGGGTCTGCACTTGACACAGGAGCATGGCAGCATTCCTAGGTTTACTATTTAGGATATAACTAAATAGTTTCCATTATTTGCAATGCTTCCAAGCAAATCTGTGCATAGTTTTGAATAAATGGGGAAACATCTCTTCCTCTGCTTTAGCAGTACAAGGAACACAGACACAACCATCGCACTCTGGACATGGTATTTGGAGTACATGGAGGAACAAAATTACATGAACGCAAACCCAAATCAACGCTGGCAGAGTCCCCTCCCAGTGCCACCAAATTCCCCGGCCACTGTCACCATGCAGTGGCACAAAGTGAGGGCAAAGTTCTACGTGACCTCAGGAAGAAGAACCTGGCTGGGTAAACTGACAGTGACTTTTTGCAGGAGTAGCAATGCCCTCGGGTTCTGAGTGCCTCAATAATGTCACCATTGTAGGTGCTAAAATAATGACAGACATTAACTTGACCCCACTTGGCACGTTTTTGCCTTCATGAATCCTCACTATCCTAGTGTCCATCTGAGCAAGGGCTTTGTCCTGGCAAGTAAGATGGAAAGGGGAAGGGGAATGGGCCCATTCCTTATTTAGCATTTCAGAGCAAGTGCTCTGTCATGCAAGCGAGCTGTGCTTGGGCAACATCAGTAACTCAGTGAAATAAGTATTTAAAGACCCTTACATTTCAGGCAGAGGGAAGGACAGGCATATCTAAATACTGCCTCTCAGAAATGCTCTACAGACATTATTTTTCAGACCATGAGAACCCATATTTTGCCAGCCTCACCCCACAATGCCCATTAATTTTTGGTTAAGCCATTGCAACAGAGCTTGGTCTCTGGGTAAAAATACTGAATAGCACATTGGTTGACTAACTAACTCCTCTGAGTACAGTAGCAATTTGTTTTAATCAGGTAATTTAATTCTGTGAATCATTTATATCCCTTTTACATCCAAAGCTGTTCCTGCCTCAGAACAATCTGTCTTTCTTTCTCCTGTGGAGCCTGCATTGCTCAGCTGTGTTTTTATATCACATAATGTTCCCCAAGTATCACAGCCACAGCCATGACTGTAACTGCTCAAGCTGCACCTCATGAGAAATCCCGATATGAGTTTCAGTGGCACCATAGGCATTCCAGGCAACTTCACATTTTCTGCTTAAAGGAACAGTGCTTATAAATTCAGACAGAATTTGGACCTTCAGGTAGAGAATCTTTTTCCTTAATTCAGATTGCCAGACCAACGGCAACGGGAAACTGGAATTTAATGAGTTCAAAGTTTTCTGGGAAAAAATGAAGAAATGGATAGTAGGTGACATTATTCACTGTTTGTTTCTCCATTTCATTAGCTATTTCCTGCATAGTTTATTATGTATGTGCAGACAAAAGTGGAGACAGGAATGTTTACAAGCTACAAATTTTAACTCAAAACAAATGTTTTAAAAGTATGGGGGCCTGTTTTGGATAGTCAAAGACATTCTTAGCTTTCCATGATGCTAAACCATAATGGTTTTGTGGAAATCACAGAGATTTTTGTAAGCAAATCAACTATGTTTGGGATAAAGATTGCAAAGGACACTAATAAACAAGCCAATCAAAATTAAACTTAAGGAATTTCCATTACTGCTGTTGTACAGAAGTAGAAAGTGATGATTCATAAGTAGTAGGAAACAATAATTTCCTATGTCACTGCATTTCCTTTATTGATCTCTCAGGAGTCAACTGTACCGAAGTCTGGGAAAGTGTTGATTCTGAATTTAAACACATTTCCCTGTCACTGTATATGGCAGTAAGAATAAACAGGCTTGCAGAATCAGGCCACAGACTGAATATTCAAATACAGGCAACATAATTGTTTCCTTATGGTCATTAATAGTTTCTTCTGAATTCATGCTTCACCCAAGCATTCAAGATATGCAGTTCCCTGCTTCTTGTCTAGCCCATCAAAAATGGCAAATGCTTTTTTTGGGTACTAATGCCACATTTCTTTTAACAAAGCATGCATTATTCTTTAACAAGGGGGTTTGAGAAATCCTTGTGTCTTATTGGAAGATTTGCACGTATGTTTGCTGGGTAAATTTAAGATGAATGTGATGACAGCTCTAAATAGTTCCCAAGGGTAGCTGAGTTTGTCATCTCATTAAAAAGATGGAATTTAACTCTAGTTTAATAATTATTTAATATTTAGGTCTGAATGTTTGTACCAGTTCTCTTGGTTGTACCATGAATGTGGCTGCTTGGACCTTTTGTACCTAGCAACAAATGGGCAAGTTACAGTCTTAACTTCACGTTAAACTAATTGTCTCTAGCCCTCAGAATTATAGAGAAAAACATAACAAGAGATTAAGAGGATGCATCAGTTAAGAGTTAAAAGACAAAGAGCAATACATCCTACCCAGAAAAACTCACTTTTTGAAAAATTGTGGAGTTTTTTACAAAAAGCACCTCATTATTTTGAATACATGGGTTTGGCAGTACTTGGTTGAAGTTTCACAACAACCTATTCATATGACAAAGAGAACTGTGACCTAGATTTGTTCCTCAGTTACAAAATCAGACTTGATCTGGACCAAAGTTTGTCAGCTTTCTTAAATGCTCAAGTTAGCAATAAAGACCTTGCTTTTCTGTGCCATATCTGTGCTCCCTTTCATATGCATACAAACTTTCCATGTTCTCATTTTGTTATAGAATATCTTCCTTCAATTTGACTTTGATAAATCTGGGTCCATGTCCTCCTATGAGCTTCGCAGTGCACTTAAAGCTGCAGGTAAGGATAGCACTACATTTTACCTGGGAAACCTGTCAGGCACATCGGCTGTGGGTGAAGAGGGCTGCAATCAATTATGCTGGCCAGGTGCCCCTGAACAGAAAGGAGGTTTAAATCCCAGAGAGGACTTGCACACCTAGAGAAGATATCAAGTAGACTAATTTTGCCCCAGGAATCTCCAGTCCTGCAGGGCAGTCAGTGAGAGCAGTCTTTATATTTTTCTTGAGCTCTGTTGAACTTAACAGGGCTGAACATGTGCAGGGTTAGACCCTGAAACAAGCAACTTCAGCGTCCATTTGCCCTCAAGGGCTGAAGGAACAGTGAGTAAGCTGTTTGTTATGAAGAGCAGTCAGTGCATTTCACTGCAAATTATTTCTATTAAAGCACCTAGTTTTGCAGAAATCCCTCTAAATTTCAGGGAGACAGAATGGTCCCTCATACATCAAAAAGTGCACAGACTAGAAACTGCAGTGACTGCAAAATTTCCTGTTCAGAGCTTGTTATGCATTGCAAGCTTAAAGAATTCTGTGGTCAGATCGCTTTCAGGATGGCTGTGTGCCCCTGAGTATCCTGCCATTCACTGGTTTTCAAGATTAGTTAGTAGAGATCTGCAGATTCCTCCCTGGCCAGTGTGGTTGCTGACTTTTCCTTTGTGCATGTGTCTTTGGGAAGGATACCAATTCAGCAACTACCTGCTGCAACTGATTGTCCTCCGATACTCTGATGAACAGTTCCAGATTGACTTTGATGATTTTCTGAACTGCTTAATTCGCTTAGAGAATGCAAGTCGTGAGTATCTTCTTCCTCTGGAATTTCTTTCCCTTTCTAAAAAAACCCCAATGTTCCTCTTTTGGCTGTCATTGAACATATTGCACAATATCTGAGATCACATGTGTACACGGCTAACAGAAAGGAGCTGTGTTTAGCATTTGCTTTTAGGATGGCTTTTCTCCTGTAAAGTGAAAAATGTTCTGTCGCTAATGGAAAATTTCCCTGTGTGAGTAGAGCCTGCTTCACAAACTGCAGCAACATAGAAGGCATGTGAAGAATGCTGGCAAAGTCCATGTTACAGCCTTTCTTGTGGCTCACCCATGAGCTTCATTTGGGATCACAGAAGTTCAAGGTTCAAATATTGCTTGTGCCTCATGCAAAGAGATAATTGGCATGTACTTGGACAGGTATATCCTGTACTTAACTTGTCCACTTTTGGCAGAAGATATCCCTCCTCATACACTGAGCACCCTACATCCCAGTTCATTTGTGAGCAGGGTCACTCTCGTTCCAGCAGTAGTAGAGATAGATTAAATGGCTGGATAAATGCTGAAGTGATCATTAGTGTGACTCCAAACTCAAATCATATGCAGCTCTCTCTATGAGAAGCAAAATCAAGTTTCTTCACCAGTTTTTATTGTTTTGTTCTTCTCTTTACTTTCTGTTTTGATCCGTGGCAACAGAAGTATTAAGCTATTGAGAGAGCAGAATTAGAAAAGATAAAGAAAGAAATGCAAATTGATTGGCTTCATTTTTAGAGTATCATCCAAATGCAATGGTTTAGTATTCAGGACACCCTCTTCCAGTCAAGTCCTGAAGTGAGATATGCACAAGGGCCTTACGTCACCAAGACATTTCCTCTTGCAAGGACTTTAGTTTTGTCATAGCAGCTACCACCACCAAGCAATCCTAAGTGATTTGCCTCTGCGCCAGGCCCTCCCTCTCCTTGGAACAGACACCCATCATTGTGGGATGGGGAGCTCATGTATGAATATGAATATGAATGAGGTGTATTTATAGCGCTGGTGTCCTGTTTTTCATTTCAGGAGTATTCCAAGCTCTGAGTGTGAAAAACAAGGAGTATATTAACCTGAATATAGGCGAGGTATGAGCACAGCTTCATAAACACTGACAAAATGATGGGGCTTCTCTAGAGCGTTTTCCTCTTGTAAGAACCAGAACATTTCTGCATGCACTTCAGGTGACATCCGTGTCTATGAGAGTGCAGGGGGCATCTGCCGTAGGTTTCAGCAGGGCTGGGATTTTACAGCACGCACACTGGTTACATCTCTTCCGTGCTATTGCCTTCCTTCTTTGCTCTGTGGCATACTGACAGCTGATCAACCTTTCAACATTCCCTGTTTTTCCTTCCTCTGGTGCCAGCTCTCAGTGGGGGAAAAGGGAAGCTGCAGATGGGGATGGGAGGTCTTTCATTATCCCTGAATCCCCCAGGAGTGCAGAACAGCCTTGCCTGTGCATGTCCATAGAATCATAGAATAGTTAGGGTTGGAAGGGACCTTAAGATCATCTAGTTCCAACCCCCCTGCCATGGGCAGGGACACCTCCCACTAAACCATGTCACCCAAGGCTTTATCCAACCTGGTCTTGAACACTGCCAGGGATGAAGCATTCACAACCTTCCTGGGCAACCCATTCCAGTGCCTCATCACCCTAACAGGAAAGAATCATCTGCTTCTCTCACCGTTCAGAACAGGCTTCTTGTTTTCCTGTGCTCTCTTTGTCTCCCTGTCATATATGTGGGTTGTCTCTCATTTAACACTAACTCAAAGCTTCCTGGGGCCAGGCACAATGAATTCTCTGACAAAACAAGCATGGAAGCCCATGCAGACTGCTGGGATGCAAACAAAACCACTGCCATTATGGGCTTCTAGTGTTTGGAGAGCTCTCCCTCCTTCCGTCAAAACACAGAAGTAAATGCTGGCTGAAGTTTGTCCTTAGTGACAGGACACAAAAGCCTAGTGAGCAAAGGTACTCTTCTCTATATGGGGTCAATTCAGAGCAAGGCAAAGCTTTTGAACATCTCTTTCATTTGGGGAAAGGGAGGGGGAAGAAAAGGGCCTGAGGTCATTTATTGTAACATTGATCTTTCTTCCAATCTTAGTTTATCAACCTGGCAATGAATATCTGAAGAAGTCTGACTTGGATGCCAGAAGCTTCTGGTGACATTGCTGCTGAGACTTCTGTCCCAAACAGCTGAGGTCCCCTTTGCATGCAGACTTCACCAGGAGATTTCATGAGGAGCAACATGCATGCTGCCCACCCTTTCTGGTCCCCAGCCCTCTTGAGGAGTTTAACAGTCAGATCATAGTTTGGTTTTGGTAAAGCCTGATACTGGATTTAGTACTGTGAGAGGCATTTGGATGGGGCACACATGCCTCTCCAAGAGCCTGAAATTGACACCCCTGTGTGACCACAGGGTTTTGCAAAATCAGATTGTATTTAGTTTCAGCACAGCACAGACTATGGTGATTAAAGGTCTTTATAGCTCCTTGGGTAGAGATTACTGTAAGGTGCTTTTGAAAATATAAGGTTGCATAAATCTTTGTTCCATTTGGAATTTATTTCCAACATGCTGTGTAGCTACACAAAAAGCCCCCTGTTACAGCCACCTGAACTGCAGTCTGGTGGACAAAGGAAGGCCATGGAATGTCTGGATTAAATTCAGCCTTGAATATTTATGACAGAGGTCCTTGGTCCAAGCTTCCTTAGAAGGATGTTTAAGCTAAGGTTTTACATTCATCACAGATTTAGTTTAGAGCAAAAATGCTGTGTTTCACTTTCTATCAGTCCTTTTCTGCTACTGACAAAGTTCCTCCGTTACGTGGCAGACCATGTCCTGCAAACCAATTTCGGCAGCGTTGCACACAGCTTGCCTTCATCTTCAGAGGAGCACGTGGCCCTGAAACAGGGATCGCTTGTGTTGGGCCATTTTCCTCCAGGCAGTCCAAGACTGTGTCCCACTACAACCATGCTCCAGAAGAGCAGCTGTAATAATTTTAGATGAATTAAATGTGCTTATTGGTAAGGCCCTGATCTCTGCAGCTATTGCTGTTTTGCATTGCTATTTTGCATCTGTGACTTACATAGTATGATTCATGTGATGTGGGTAGCCAGTGCTGACTTTAAAAATAACATTAATAGAAGCCAGGGATTTAAGAGGTCTTCATAGGATTTGTTTCCATGATTATCTTCATAACATATGTCTATTTTATAATGAATCAACTGTCTGGATTTGTTTTGTGAAACCTTTCTTGCAGTGACAGAGATGGCCCTAGAATAACCTTGCATTCCCTACTGTCCAGAATCATTGAGACAGCCAGGGGTTTGTTTTCTCTAGATTTAGACCTAATGAACAGTTCTGGAAGGAAGATCAAGCTGCAGGAAAGGCGAAGTTCAAACAATGAAAAAAGCAGGGATCATGATATTTAAAATAACCACTTTCTTTTTTTATATTACAAGATTATAGTTATAATCTTGTAACTATGCAGAAAATGCTCTAGAGCTGACTGAAAGCTGAGCTAAAGCTAATGGTTGCAGTATTTGATTAACTGAGGTACGCAGCCCCATGAGGTATATTGATTTTCAGATGTGCTGATTGTATGCCCTTTTGACAGCACTGGAGGCAGCTGTCTAAATTTGTGAAAGTTTGGATTAAAATCTAGACTGTTCTCTAAACATTCAGCCACATATTTGAAACGAAAAGTCACAGCTCCCTAACTGATTCATTGTGCAAGCTTAGACATGGATACAAATTTGTTGGAATACAGTATCATTCACAAGCTATGCTGAAGAAAAGACATGTCTCAATGCCTGGCATCACCGGTGTAGCATTTTGTTCTCTTACACAGAGCTGGGAATGTCTTGGTGCAATCAGGATTGATATAAGACAGTGATGAATATTGAGGTGGGAGCAATGGAGCACAAGTAAAAATCTCTTCTGCATTTAAAAGAAAATTAATGCATTTAAGAAGAAAACATCCCGAGGTGTTTTCTGACCACTCGGAGCAGTTGCTTGCTGACTGCGTCACAAGGAATTTGAAAGCAAACATTTGAGTGCTTTATGAATCAAGAAGCCTCTTTCCTGGCCAGCCAGCTTGCTGTGTAAACCCTGTCCTGTGGTGGGGTTTACACAACATTCCATAGCCACAGCAGAAGTGCATGTAAGGGCAGTTAAGCACAAGAAAACCTGTACTTATAACCAGGCTGGCCCATGACCACACAGACTCTAGGGCATCACACTCCCTATCTCACCACTTTGGTTATAAGGATATTACGGCAGCTGTGATGAAAAGCCTTGCTAATATCAAGGTGAAGAACAGCAACTGCTCCCCCTTGTCCTATGCACTAGACCATTTTCTTTCTGTATTGGAGTAAGACCCGCCTCAAAAAGGCAAAATTAACTGTAGGAATGCATGTGAAGATGGATTATTATATAAAACCTGGTAAGGGGTTTTTGGTCTGCGATTATACTGCTCGTGTGAGTGAGAGACATTTGACTTCGCAGCCCCATCCAGATATGACAGTCCTCATCAGCACAGCAGCCACCCGGTATGTGAGCAGGAGGCCCACTTGGTGCGCAGAAAAGGGGGTCTGGGCTTGCTGGTCTTCTTTTCTTTTAATTAAGGATCTTGAATTTAAAGGAAGACCTTGCTGCCTTCTCTGAGATGTAGGCATGTTTGGCTCTGTACCATTACAGGAGCAATGGCAAATCACTTATAATGCTCTGAAAGCTGCGTGAGTGGTACTTTCCCTAGTGTGGTACACACAGACCTTGTTAGTGAAATCTGGTTCATGCTGGGAGCCCTGCCTGTCTGCTAATAGCACCATTAATGGGGAACATGAGAGGCATTTTTCATAATTATACTACTGGAAAAAAAAAAACTAAAAATCACTTAACTACAGGGTTGCAATCTGAGCATGCTCTCCTACTCCCTCACAGAACCACAAATCTTTCTAAAACCTGCTGCTAAAGCTTCAAGCCAGATGCTAGCAGGGGCTGTCTGCTGCCCTGGTACTGGTAGTCTCTCCTCTGCTCCCCTCCATCCTCTCAGCATCCTCAGCTCCCCAAGATATTGGGCAGTGCTCAGAGACATGGCACATTTCTGAGTTTAAAGGAACAAGATCAGCTTAAAGCCTAAGCCTTTAGAGAAGGGATTAATTTGGTGTTTGTACCGAGCTCAGCCACCCCAACCACCGTGATGGTAAATTTGGCAGTGACATTTTCCTGTCTTGAAGAAGGTTTCCTGCCCAACCTGCTGCCGAGGCCAGGAGGGATATAATTAATGGAAACTCCAGTGACGAACTACCATAAAGATGTAAAGAAACTGAAAAATAGTGAAAGAACATTCTGCTATTTCTCCATGCAAGCAGAGACAGAAACGGTCAGTAAACAACTTGGGCACAAGTATGAGCCGAAGTATCCCATGCTGCTTCGAAAAGCTCCCAGGCAGGAGAGATGCTAGAAGTGACGTGGCGGTTCACCCCATTTATAACAGTTGCAGTTGCTTCCAGTCGTGAAAACTAAATATTTGTGCATAGATACCGAGTTACCTAAGTCATTTTCATTTCAACTGCATCATGTCCCCACTTCTCCCCTGCCTCTCCCCTGAAATATTTGAGTCTTTGTGCTTTTTGCCTCATGGCCGCATCTGGTTTGGAAGCACATCAGAGTGCTGAGGGCAGTTTATACTGTTCCCAGTAAGGCTGGAACTTCAACATTTTAAAAATTAATTACAAATACTTGCTGATTGAGGTAAACACACAACTGCAACGCAACTGCCAACAACTATCTTTTGCACGTCAGCCACTTATAAGGGCAACTGTGCTATAAACTGCACTCCTAAAAACCCTGATTAATTTTTATCCCTTGCCCTTTGCTTGCCCCTTCAAGGGAAGTCAGCTCCACTGTGCAGGGTTTGGACTCCGGGGTAGCCTGGATGCCTCTTTGAGTATTATCCACAGAGGCAGAGGAGTCAAGCAGGACAAGGACAGCAGCACGCACTATTCACTGGCCCAAAGAATGTATAGCCTTAACTTCTGATTGCCTTTTTTTCCCTTCGTATTTATTTAAAATGCCCTGAACCAAAATAAGACCGTGTATTCATCTCCATCTCCCCCAAACACAGAGCCAGGAATGGTGAATATTTTCCATTTCAGGTATTTGACAAGAATACTCCAAATGTATTGTTTCGATGGTCTTTCAGAGAGGAAAAAGCATTTATCCACTCAGATCCAACAAGGCATTGTGATCAAGAGTGTCCATGTTTTATCTGCCCCTGGGGTACCAGCAGCTCTGCAGGCAGTCAGGAGGAGGGGAGCTGCCTGCATGCTTTGCCTGCAATGCAGTGTGTGCCATGCATGAGGGCCAAATTCCCTTGCTCCTTTCAGACAGCCCACAGAAGGGAACAGGGACAGGGATGAGGATGGGAGTCCCCCCATGAGCACCACATGGTCACCTCTCCTGGCAGACAGCCCCCCCGGACACAGCCCAGCCCCTGCCCTGGTAGGGAGGGCACTGCCAACATTTTGTGACAATTTTATCCAGTTGCTAAGCAGCTGGGTCCAGGGACACAAATACAGTGAAAACAAGCTGCCCCAAGGGAAAACGGCTGCTCCGGGAGGGCAGGCCCTGCCCTAGACCGGTGTCTGCCTCTCCCCTCCTCTCTCAGGCGCATGGTTTCATGGGGCTGTGCCAGCGTCTGCCCCAGTAACCGAGCAGGGGTGGTTGCATGTGCAAGGCTTTGGGAAGGGGCTCTGGTCCAAGCTGAGTTGCCTCCTCAAGGAGCTGTTAGCCCATGCCTGCTCACAGAAGGCTGAAGGAACAGATCCAGCTCCTCCAGTCCCTTCAGCTGTGGCCGTGTCTGCAGAGGGCAACATTAAGCACGGCTGGGGCCAGATAGCAAAGCCATGTCCAGCTCTGCAGCCCAGCACTCGGGGCACCCGCTCCTGGGTTTCAGCAGTTTCTGCTGCTCTCGGTGGTTACGGGTGTTATGGCAAGTGTGCTTGTCTGAACAGCAGGACCATGAAATCATAAATACTTGCATAACCACCTCCTCCATCCCTGACCTCTCAAAGGTCTACCTTGTCTCAGTGCAAAGCATAGTATCCTCAACACAGGGAGCTGAGAAAACCCCTACCACCACATCATGATGTCTCATATCCCAGTGGTTAGAGCAGAAACAGGAGATACAGGCTCAAAACCCTCAAGCAATTCAAATTACATTTACCTTTCTCCAGTCTCCTCTAGTTGTTAGACATTTACCTCTTCTGCATCAGTGTAAGAGCCATATCAAAGGCTGTCTGCCATCCAGGAGTTAATCTACAGGACCTTTAGAAGGAGGCATCCTTTCCATGCAGCATGTAAGAATAGGATGTGTCACACCTCAGAGGGCATTTTGGGACACAACACTGTAGCAAACCCATTTATTGTACAAGGGGGCACCAACACAAGTCTTCAGGGATGCAGCCACACTGCACTACAATGCCCTTGGTCATCCAGCAGCAGGCTGCCAGAACGGGCATCTCAGCACCTGCTCCAGCTTGAAAACAGATTATCTGGTGCCACAGAGAACAGATTTATCATGGCTGATCCCATTCATTTCCTAGACGACATGCCAAGAGACTGAAATAGAAATGGGGTCAGCAATTAAGAGGGTAGCTCTCCGTCACTTTCACTGTATGTTGATATGATGATGGCTGGTTTGCATATTTACCTGATACATAGCTTACTGAAGGTTTTAGGAGGACACAGATCAAGGAAAGTAGAAACAGACCTTTAGGGGCTGTTGTACAGAAACTGCCATCCTCACAGATTTATTCTCCATCATGAAAGCATGCATGAGAGAGCTGGAGAGTATGGAACTCTGCCTGGGGATGGGTGATGGACCAACAGAGAGCTTGTAGGGCAAAGGTCAAAGGGAGAACAGTGATGGGGGACATTATTGTGGGGGTCTGCTGCAGGCCACCGGATAAAGAGGACTCTGTGAATGCTCTACAGACAGGTAGGAACAGCCTCACACTCACAGGCCCTTGTTCTCATGGGGGACTTCAACCACCCTGATACCTGTTGGAGCTACAGTACGGCCCGGCACAAGCAATCCAGGAGGTTCCTCGATTGTGTGGAAGACAACTTCAGTCTGCAAGTAATAGAGGAGCCGACAAGGAGAGCTGCCATGCTTGACCTCGTGCTCACCAACAGGGAAGGGCTCGTTGGAAATGTGACTCTCCAGGGCAGCCTTGGATGCAGCGATCATGAGATGGTCGAGTTCGAGGTCCTCAGGACAGTGAGAAGAGCGTGCAGCAAGCTCACTGCCCTGGACTTCAAGAGAGCAGACTTTGGCCTCTTCAGGAACCTGCTTAGTAAGGTGCCATGGGATATAGCCCTAGAGGGCAGGGGGGCCCAAGCCTGTTGGTTGATATTCAAGGATCACCTGCTACAGGCTCAGGAGTGTTGCATCTCAACAAGAAAATGGGGCAAGAAGGCCAGGAGGCCTTCACGCATGGATAAAGAGCTGCTGAGGAAACTTAGAGAGAAAAAAGAAGCTTATAGAAGGCGGAAGGGAGGACAGGCAGCCAGGGAGGAATACAGGGACATTGTCTGGGATGTGGTCTAATGTGAGGTGTCCCTGCCCACGGCAGTGAGGTTTGAACTAGAGGATCTTCAGGTCCTTTCCAAC